CAGCAGGAAGGGAAGGCTGCCCTGGTTTACATGGACTTTCTGAAGAGATTTCTGGCTTTGTGGCCTGAGGACTTGCACGAGTAGTGTCCTTCCTTGTAGTGCTTTGCCTCCCAAGCCAACTGGAGTGACACATGGCACTGTCTTGCTGGCTGTATCTTTGCTGCTGTGTGCTGGGGTAGGGCCAAGCTTCCCAGCCCAGCATGCCCAGTCTGGGTTCTCACTCTCTTTTTCTGGCAGGAATGTCTATAAAGATCTCCGTCAGATTGAGCTGGCCTGTGACTCCCAGGAAGATGTGGACAGCTGGAAAGCCTCCTTCCTCCGGGCTGGCGTCTACCCCGAGAAAGACCAAGTAAACGTTCATTTTGACTCCTCAATCTCCTCTGAAACAGGCCACTAAGGTTGCATGGATTTGAGGCCAGCTCAGTGGCTGCTGGTAGCAGCCTCTTGTGTCACTGGCATGCCTGTTAGAGTAGACCTTTAGCAGTTCGCTGCGGGAGGGAGTCCATAGGGCTGGGGATGGATTCTCCATCTTGCATGGCTGCAAGCAAGGACATGGCACCTTGCCAAAGCATGGGACTTAGGTTCACATGTTGAATGAATCTCATCCAGTGCCAGCTGGCAAGGGCAGGGGAGCAGGAACCTTTGGCCCAAAGGTTGGGTGTGTCGCCAGCCCCAACCTTGAGGGGTGTCTGTAAATGTCTGCATAGAGGCAACTGGTGAGATGATGCCCTTTGCCCATCTCCCCATGTTCGTCTGTTTGGAAGCACCTGTCCCCCCCAGCCAGGAGATCCCCAAGGTAATGTGTGGTACCTTTGTATACCTGAGCAGACTGAGAACGAGGACGGCGTCCAAGAGAACACCTTCTCCATGGACCCACAGCTGGAGCGGCAGGTGGAGACCATCCGCAACCTCGTTGACTCCTATGTGGGCATCATCAATAAGTCCATCCGTGACCTCATGCCAAAGACCATAATGCACCTCATGATTAACAATGTGAGTGCCCCAGCCCTGTTGCCCAGGCCTTGCACAGCACACATGGGGTTCCTGCATTTGGGGGAGGGGGGTGCAGGGAGCATCTTGGCTGTGGGGGTTCCCCCCTAGAGCATGTGCCTATGGTGATATGCTGTGTGGGGAGACATTAATCCTTCAGGCACCAGAGTCAGGTCTCTGCACCTGGGGCCAGAGTCCTGACGAGCCCTTGACTAAAGCTCCACACGATGGGGTTGATTCCTGGTTTGGTTTCAGGCTAGCAGTAGCACTAATGGGGTGACTGTAACCCAGTGTCTCTAGAGGCTTAACTCTAGACTAGTACTGGGGATAGAACCCAGGTGTCCTGGCTTCCCAGCTCCCTGGCTTCAGCCCCATTCAGTGTCACAACATCTACACCTTCATTGTCTTCTTGCTGCCCCACACAGACCAAGGACTTCATTCACTCAGAGCTACTGGCCTACCTGTACTCGTCTGCCGACCAGAACAGCCTGATGGAGGAGTCAGCCGACCAGGCCCAGCGCAGGGATGACATGCTGCGCATGTACCATGCCCTCAAGGAGTCCTTGAATATCATTGGCGACATCAGCACCAGCACGGTCTCCACACCTGTCCCACCCCCTGTGGACGATACATGGCTGCAGACCGGGAGCAGTGGGCACAGGTCTGGTTGCCTGAGGAGGCAGGGGCTAGAACAAGTGACACAGTGTACTGTAAGCTCAGTGGTGCCTGATGCCAGAGTCATGGGGGGGGGGTGGCTATTGCTGTGTGGCTTCCTCCCTTGAGAGACTGATGGCCTTTGGGTGCTGGGAGAGAGGGGAGCAGGGAGTCTAGTTGTGGGAGAAACAAGGCAGGATGCCCAGAATTGAGGGTTCAGAGAAGGAATCCAGTCACATGTGTCTGTTCCTGTGGATGCCCCTCTGGGATCTTGGGTAAGCTGCCTCACAGGGCCCGTGACTCTGTGGATGAGTTCCATGGCTCCAAACTCCTTAAATGCTAGAGGCTGCAAGTGAGAGGAATGGGGAAAAATCCTGGTCAGACCCAATTCGTTCTCCTTGTCAGCATCCACTCTGCTACTCTGTGACACAGGAGACTGGGCCAGATGGACTGAGGGTCTGACCCAGTAAATGGCAGTGCTTGTTCTTATGTTGTTTGTGGACATGCCCAGCCCCCAGTGGGTCCAGAAGGAAACAACGGTTGGAGCCTGACTCTGGATGGGGGCAAGAGCTGGGTGGCTCTGGATGACGAATCCCTCTTGACACTCACTCTCTCTCTCTCTCTTCCCCCATAGCCCTCCGCTGCATCGCCGGCCTCTATCTGCTGTGCTGCCACCTGGCAGGCCCCCAGCTGTGAGGGGCCCAACACCAGGGCCACCCTTAATCCCCATGCCTGCTGGGGGCCCTTCATCCTTCACTGCTCCCCCTATACCCTCACGGCCCGGACCTCAGAACGTATTTGCTGCTAACAATGACCCCTTCTCAGCCCCTCCTCAGATCCCATCGCGGCCGGCACGCATCCCCCCTGGCATCCCACCTGGCGTGCCCAGGTAAGAACATGGCACTCGCAGTGACTGCTGCTTCTCCCAGTCAGCAGCCACAAGTAGATAAGGGGGAAGCAGCATCCTGCCATGGTGGCAGTGTGGGTCCCCATGTCAGGCCTGGTTCTGGGTCATATTATCCCCATGGCAGTTGCTGGGCTGCATCTAAACTACAGGCCCAGAGGTGTTTCCATACAGTAGGGGAACCCTGAAGGCACCTATCTGGTCTCAAGGCAGAATCCCTGAAGGGGCTTGCTCCCCTGGTCAGCCTTGGAGGTGACAGCAGATAGGGGCTCCTCTCTTCCTGCCACCAGCCTGCTGGGCTGGGTGTCAGGCTTCTGCTGGCAGAGAGGAAACGTCCTGTAGGGTGGGAGCCTACAGCGTGTTCACAGGTAGCACATGGCAGGGGCCAGTTTGCCAAGCTGCCCACTCCATTGTCCAGGGTGAAGGCACTGGTAGTGCAAAGGCTTCTTGCTTTGCTTGCCCTCTTGGGGAGCAGTGGGCTGGAGTGCCCTGACCCTCCACCCTTGGGAGGCAGTGTAGCATAGTGGTATGAACCCTGGGTTCTCTGCTCTGTCAGGCTGTTCTCCTCCTGCCCTGTACAGTCGGATGGCTGTGTTGAGCATGAAAGCACCATGGGAGCTGAGGGGAAGGCAGCTGGCACTGCCAGGGAGGGTGGGGGGATTCTTGGGGGCAGGCAGCGTGGTGCCCTCCCACACCCTGTCAGCTGACTCCCTCCTTCCTGAATGCTTATGCCTCTGTTCCCATGTCTCATTCTCTCTGCAGCAGAAGACCCCCCGCGGCACCGAACCGGCCAACCATTATCCGCCCGGCCGAGCCCTCCCTGCTAGACTAACTCTCCGGGGGGGGGTGTCCTAGCGACTCCGTGTGCCTGGTGTGGCTTCCCCCCCACATACACATCTGCCACTTTCATTTGCCATCAGGGGAGTGGGGAGGGGGAACTCAGTTTAATCTATGTTACAAAGGTTACCACCATGATTGAGCCACAGCTGGTTCCTATACCCACAGCAGTGCCAGCCTCCCTCTCCTGGGTGAGAGCGCAGGCATGGCAGGTGTTGGTTGTACATACTGATTGCACCAGTTTGGGATGGGCTCTGTGCTCGTGGTCCTGCCTCCCCTCCTCTCTCCCCATCTCTCTGCTGTTCCTACACTAGGAAATGGGCAATTGGCATTAATGATGTGGGGGGGTGGAATCTGCCAGCCCCCCACGGCAGATCCCTCACAATAGGATGGATCCACCCCGCGCCCCGGCGTGGAACAAGCAGTGGAGCCTCCTGTTTGTCTCTTTGGGTTGAATATTGCACTTTGTTGGAGTGGAGGGAACCACATATTTGACAACCCCACCCCCCTCTGGCCTCAGGGTTGCCTGAATGTGTGGGGCATTGAGAGGAGAGCTCTGAACTGGGGACTGTCTCCTTGCCTTTGCCATGTGCAGAATCTCTTTCCGCTGCCTCTTGGGCAGATCAGATTGATCTCCGGCTTCCTCTTCCCTCCTGACACCCAGAATTTTTTTTGTATTGTTTAATATATTCTATATGAAACTGATTTCCGCCCCACCCTGCCCTAAACCCAATTTTTTTTTTTGGCTAAACTGATCATAGTCTATATTTCAATTTTATAGCTTTGAGGAAAATTTATATATGGAGGATGGGACTGCAAATAGCCGTGTTGCTAATAAATCTAATTCACCACAAACGGGGGCAGATGATCCAGGCTAGTCCTTTTGGCTGGAGGCACCAGTCAGCAGGGAAACCTCAGGTATTTCTCAAGGGGTAACAGGGTTTGGAGGGAGCTATTAAAGCAGCACTGTGCTGTATGCAGCATTCATAACCCTTGGTAATAACCAGCTATATCTGAAGCGGGTTTGAGTCCCACGCAGGGCAGGAGAGGAGAAGGGAGAGCCAGGATCTGGGAGGCAGGGATTCGTATCTCAGTTGTCTTCCCAACCCACTGGGGCAGCTTTTGTTTCTGGGAGAGCTCCCCATGTCCCTAGGCATCACTACGGCAGCTTAGCTGGTGTCCATGGAGGAGCAGAGAGAGCTGTCAGAGCCCTAGTATGTCCTGTGGCTGGGAGCAAAGCACGTAACTGCCAGCAGGGGCTGACTCCAAGCAAAGGTTCACATGGCCATGGTGTGACATAGCATCCAAGAGAGGCTGAATGCCCCATGAGGAGATCATTGCCACTCCGCTGGGAGGAGGCTTCTTGCAGGGGGCTTGTTTTGCCATTACAAAGGGTGCTTGGGAGAGCCCATGTGCCTCTAGCCCCCATGTCCCCTGCATCCCCTGCTCCTGTAACTTAGCCTGCAGTGCCTTCTCAGCTGCCTCAGCAACATGCATGGCTGTGGCTGTGGCCAACACAGAGGTTATACATATTGTTAGAGATAGTCTGATGTGGAAAAACTCCCATCCCCTGGGTGGCTTCTAGCTCAGCCCCTGCTGTAAGCAAACCACTAAGGGTGGCACTAGGTGCCTATCTCTCTGTGCCCACAGGGTCTGGATCAGGTCAGTGCCTGCCTGCCTTAAACACCCTTTTGTGTTAATGTTACCATAGCAGCCTGGTTCCTTGCTGCCTGCTGGCAAGGAAGGGCTCCAACTTGGGACGTAGGCAGCAGTTAATAACTCCTCAGGATACCACGCTGTGGCCACTGTGCCAAGGGACAGAGGGTGCCAAGGGCTGGGTGACAAACCACACCCCCTCTGCCCCCTCCTTGCAAGCCATTGGCTGGTGTAACTTGGGTCTGACAGCTGGGATGGTGTTGGTGCCCCCCACCCCTGGAGCTATAGCAAGGTCTCGCTAGCTTGGAAGGCAAGGCCGTTTCCTCCCTGCTACCATCAGCTCTGATCTCTCAGCCTTTTCATGGTGCTATGGCTATTCTTGTGGCCTTCCCAGAGCTGCCCAAAGGCCCAGCTTGGGGTTTTTTGTTTGGGGTTGTTGTTTTTTTTGCCTCTACAAAATGCAGCTGACTGTGCCTCCTGCTGGTGCTCACTGCTGTTAGCACTTGCAACACAGGACCCAGGACTTGCCCCATCTCTCTCCTACTCCTTGGTTTGCCAATGTGTAAGTGCCTCCGTTCTGTATCCTATTAATAAACTAAAAAGAAAAAAAATAAAGGGAAAATTCTGCTGGTGAAGGTTTCTGGACCTGTGGTGTTTCTGTCTCCCCGTACCTTCCTGTCTCCTCTTGTCTGTTCCTTAAGCATCTGGATGCTGTTGGGTTGGAGAGAGCTTTGCACTGCTTGTATGCCCAGTAGGATGCCTCTGAGAGTTAGGAACTCTATTCAACTGCCAGGCTGAGCCCTCTTGAAACTGCTTTCCTTGCATGAGGGAGGAAGTTTTACCCCCAGGTGCCAGAGTCCCCGATCCAGGGCTGGGACTCTTTGGCTGAGTGACTTAAAAGCACAATTTGGGCTTTCTGCCCCGTGCTGTCAGAGCCCCTTCTCCCTCATCAGCCCCAACAACTCTCCATCCACAACAGCCAACCAGCTGTGGCTGTGTGTGGCTTCAGCTGTGTTTATGGGAAGATTTGGCTCGGTTGCTTCTTCAGCCAGGCCCTGATGAAGCTGCCTGCTCCCCTGGTGCAGTGGCTGACAAAGCTTCTGGCCTTGCCAGCCCCTTGGAACAAGACCAGTGAAAGGCAGCGCTACTTGTCATTCTGCAGGTGACAAGGCCTATCTTGCTTTCACACCCACAGCCAGCTCTTGCTGACATGTGTGGGAGGCCAGGACCCAGCTTTGGCCCCAGGCGTGGTGGTTCTTGCACAGAGTGAGGGTGATGGACCACCCCAGAGCCAAGCAGGGAAGGAAACAAAAGCAAGGGTCTTCACTGGACCACTCGTCTCAGCACCTTGCTTCTGCTCTTCTCGGCCTTTCCCCTGAGCTGCTCCTCATCCCTTTCCCTGTGCTCCTTACCTGCTGCCAGCTGAAAATAGATGCTGTTCTTTAGGGATCTTTTCTGCTTTCTCCTGTTGCCAGATCTCAGCTCTGAGGCTGAAGAGAATCCAAGCCCTGTTTTGCTCCCGTTTCTGTGTCCGACCTCCAGCCAGGGTTGGGCTGTGAGCTGCTGTGGCAGAAGCAAGGCCGTGCCCTGTCCCCAAAGCAGTTGCATGTTCTGCTCTAAAACATCTGACTTCCATGATGTGGCCCTGTGAAGGTGCCACATCATGGCAACAGAACAACAGAAGCCCCGGCCCAAGAGAATCCAAGCCCTGTTTTGCTCCCGTTTCTGTGTCCGACCTCCAGCCAGGGTTGGGCTGTGAGCTGCTGTGGCAGAAGCAAGGCCGTGCCCTGTCCCCAAAGCAGTTGCATGTTCTGCTCTAAAACATCTGACTTCCATGATGTGGCCCTGTGAAGGTGCCACATCATGGCAACAGAACAACAGAAGCCCCGGCCCTCCTGCTTTGCAGACAGTGCTGGGAAAGGCATGCCCATTGCCCTCCATCGGCTCCCCCTTGCATGGATGACTTGTCCCATTGATTTCACAGGGTTAAAAGTTTAGGCTGAGATCTTCCTGAAATCACAGCCTTTGCTTGGAGTGTTGTGGCCGTCTATGTAGAAGTGTGAGGGAGGAAATCAGGTGTGAAGTTTAAGTCTGGAAGAGGTGATTAGATTGTCTTTTCTGATGTGGTTGAGGGGCCAGAGGGACTCACCTCTGTTGATCTGAGTAATGGTTTTCTCTAGATGAGCCAAAGCATCCAGCTTTCCATCTCAAGACTACCAACAATGGAGAACCCACGACTGTCTTCAGGAGTCAGCTTTAAAGACTCCCAGGCTCTCCACAAAATGTGCGGGTATTTCTAATCTGGCTCTAACTTCCACTAATTGGAAAACTGTTCTGTGGTAACTCCCTCCAGGCCCAGCATCTTGGACGCCCTGAATCAAGACTGACAGACTGGGCAGTGGTGTGCATAGTTCTGCTACAACAGATGGAGAAGTGACTCCATCTACTGTTGAATGGGTTGGGGTAGAGCACAATTACTGGTTCCATCCTTTCTCCAGCCCTGAACTTCTCTCCCGTTGGTTGCCATAGCCTTACCTGCACAAGTGCTGCTGTGATGGTTAATTGATCCTTGCAAGTGCATCAGTTGCTATTGATCACAGGGGTTAAGGCTACGGCCTCTGAATCAGACCTTCTTGGACCTTTTAATGCTGGAGACTACAAGTGAGAGAGGAACAGTGGAAAAAGTCCAGGTCAGACCCAGTTCACTCTCCGTTTCAGCATCTCTCTGTGACAGGAGACTAGGTGAGGTGGACCTAGGGGCTGACCCAGTAAATGGCAGTTGTGTTATGTATGGGCAGGCAGACAAATCAGTTTGATTGATGTTGAAGGGTGTATGAAATAAATTGAAGGGATTATCTTTGACTGAAGGAATCACAGGACGAGGGGAGCAGGACATGTTTTGAGGGGGTGATGGAGAAGTAGCAGCTGATTCCTTCTGGTTGGTATGAATGAGTGAGGCTTTGCCTGGCTCAGTGTAGCCCCTTGAGCTCTGTGGGAACCATTGGCTCCAGCTTTGCCAGACAGGACCTTGAGTCACAGAGCCCGTGTGCTGCCATGAGGCTTGTCAGCTTTGGGCCTCTGTTTCCATGCTGTGGCAAGAACTGGGCAAATGCTGCTTGTGAAGGTGATTGCAGCAGGGAGCTGTTTGTGGCAAGATGTGGGGTGGGCAGCTTCAAATTTTGGATCTAAGCCATTGCTGGTGTCCTGCACAGGGTTAGCCAGACAGGCTCCTTCCCCTCCCATGCAGAGGCTGTTCTGCTCTAGCAGCTCTCACCGCTTTGCCAGCCATGGTCTCCTTCCTGTCTCCTGACCCCCAATAACTGTAGCCTGAATGCATTTAAATGCCACGTTCTCTCTCTCTCTGTCCTCTTGTGACCAGGCGACCAGCTCCATCTGCTCCCTTCCGGCCTTTCTCCTGAGGAGCTGCCTCTCCCGAAAACCATCTCCATTGAGCCAGTTGCTCCTAACCCATGGTAACTTTCCTCGTGATTTCTACCTGGTCTTTCTGTTGATACCAGCCAAGCTCCAGCCAGAGGAGAGATTTGATCACCACCTCCCGTTCTGCAGAGGTTCAGAGGGGATGTCATGTGGGCTCTGCAGCATCTCTTATGCTAACTGCAGATGATCCATGCACCAGAGCTCTGGGGAACGGGGTGGGGGCAACAGTGGCGGGGGCTGTATAAATGCATTTGGCATCAAGCAACTCCCCTCCAAGGAATTCGTTAAGGAGGGAGAGAGCACATTGCGATCCTCCATGAAGAGAACTCTGCCAGGCCTAGGAACAGCCAGGATCTCCAAGTCAGACTTGGCATGGCTGGGACGATGGATCAGGTTGCTTTCTTCTTACCTCAATCGTTGTATATATTCTAATGGATAAACAGTGCTCCTGCCTCAGGCTGGCTCCAGCTCATGTGGCTCGTTGCCTTCTTAAAATCGCCATCTCCATGGGGGGCGGGGTTCAGCCCCAGACCCCCTCAACTCGTGGACACAACTTTTTTGCATTGACCTGAAGGAAACCTTTTGGCCCCAGCAGGTTTCTTCTTCTCCTCCCTGTTCTGGCTGGAATGATGTACAGGCCCCTTCTCCTAGCCCAGTCCCCTCCCAGTGCCTGAGAACTTCTCTCTGTGGGCTGACCTCCTGCGTTTGTTCTCTGCACAGAACAACATTCACTCACCATGCACTGCTTCCATGGTAGTTGATGTTATCAGGCCTGAGCTACAGGTTCTGCTTGCTGAATCCAGATTTCTGTGCCTCTGTGCTGAATTCCCCAGGTTCCACTTTTATTTATGGTGACTAATAGCTCACCCTGTGCAACTGAGCCACATGCTTGTGTGTATATCTAAGTCTGCATCTTTTTTGTCCCTGCACTTGCTAGTTCTGGGACATGATGGGGGAAAGGACTGGTTCTCTGCATCTGAAATATCAGTCTTAATGGAGAAAAAATGGAAGTTCTTCCCCCACCCCCTTCTGCCCAGAGCGGGAGCTTCTGGCAAAGAGCGGGATAGAGATTCTCATTCTAACAGCTCACTTGCAGATTTGAGGTAAGAGGATGGTTTCTGTGTTGCAGAAAGGTCCTCCAGTCTCCATGGTCCTGGCTTTGGGGCAAGCCTGCCCAGAGGTGGTTACCTCCCCTCTGCTCTGCTGTTTCACAACAAGGCTGCAGCATCATCTAGGAATTGGGTAGTCCATATCCCGGTGGTGGCCCATACTTCTCACAACAGCTGCCCTCTGCGTGGGAGTCTTGGGCCCATGAGGCTGTTGGCTTATATGCTGCTAGGGAGCTCTCCTCAGATGCCCTAATTCAGCAGTTCCTAAACCAATGATTCTCAGCCAAGAGGCCTTGAGAGACTTTCGGGAGTGCTGTGCAGTGTTCAGTGCTGCTAGATGTGCAAACAAGATGCACGAGAGGAACCCAGAGATGTCAACTAGGAAGCTGTAGTATCAGACCAGTTGTGGTCTGTGCCTTTTTTTTTGGCAGTGGAAAGATTGTGATGGCATTTTTCTGCAGTAAAAAAAGTGTGTGAAAACAAAGCTGGCATTCTCTGAGGGGGGCCTAGAGGTTGATGTCAGGTTTCTTGAGCCAAAAAGCAGAGCAGCAAGACCAAGGGTGCGGGCAGACAGGCCAACCTTTGGTTCTCTCCAGTCTCTGAGAGGCCTCAACCTCTTCTGGCTGCAAAGAGAAGCTTCAAGACAAGAAAGGAGCTGGCATGGCACCAACCCAGAGCCTGAAGCAATAAGTCTGGCACTGTGAATCCCCTGTAGAAAGCCAGCCCGGGGAATGACAGGAGGGAGCAACAGGATCTGCTCTGCAAGCTGCTGTGCTGTCAGGAGCTTGGGGAGAGGGCTGGGATAAGCTCAGGCTTCAGTTTAGGTCCCTGATGTGTTTTGGCTGAGGCAGGACTCCACAACCAAGTGCCAGGCAAGGAGATAGAGCCCAGCTGGTGGAGGAGCAGTGAGCAGAGGGGTAAGAAGACTATTATTGGACCGCATTCCCTGAGTGCAGCTGTTGACATGGCTGGTGCCTCTGTGTGAGCTGCTAAAATAGAGCTCCAAAAAGCTAAATGTGGGAGCCAGGGGGCCCTAGCTGGCCTGCAGGACAGACACAGGTAAGAACAGTCACACTGGGGATGGGGATAGGAGTGTCTGCTCATCTGCCCAGGCCTCCTTCCCTGTCACGCTCAGCTCCTGCATTGGGCTAGCATGGGTATGGAGTGCCAGTGCTGCACAAGGGAGCAGTGGGGCAACTCATGTCCAGCCACCCCTGACCCTCACCTCAGGGGAACTGGGCATTTACCTACAGCTGGATCAGCTCAGAGCCAGGGCAAGAGGTTGGAAGTGGTTGAGCACTGCCCCAAGTCACCCATTCCAGCGATTCCCAGCATAAGAAATGAAATGGGGGAGAAGTGTCTTGCACACAGGACCAACCAGGTCCCCAGTACAGCCAAAGACAGGAGACTATCTCATGGGGGGATGGGTTTGCTCTGCCCTCACTTGTCATTAGGGGGCCAGGAGCTACCTTGCTCTCAGCACCTACAGCCATGACAAAGTTCTTCAAGGTTTCCTCTTCCTGCTTCCACACAGTGCCCCCAACCCTGCTTGAGAATTGCTGAGCTTGGCTGATATGCACTAATAAGCTGCTGACTTCTTATGATCTGGATCTCATTGATAGCCACCTTTCCACTTCAGCCAGGAAGGACCAATGTGGCAAGTAGCAGAGGTCACTACAGCCCTGTCAGCTGTCACTCT